TCACCTGCATCTATGGCAAGCATCCTCACCTCACTACCTCTGAGGATGCTTGCCATAGATGCAGGCGAAACGTCAGGAGAAATGCCTCTAGAACATGGCTCTATAGCCCGAAAAAACCCACAAGAACCTAGTGATTCCAGCCATGAAAGCCTTCAACAATACATCTTTCTTTTCTTTGTTTCTTTGTAAAAATGTATTTTCAATTGTTTTAACCCAGGGGTCCTCAAACTATGGCCCAGGGGCCGAATACGGCCCTCCAAGGTCATTTACCCAGCCCTCGCTCAGGGTCAACCTAAGTCTGAAACGACTTGAAAGCACACAATAACAACAACAATCCTATCTCATCAGCCAAAAGCAGGCCCACACTTCCCAATGAAATACTAATAAGTTTATATTTGTTAAAATTGTTCTTCATTGTAATTATTATATTGTTCTAAAGTGTTTTTTGCACTACAAATAAGATATGTGCACTGTGCATAGGAATTCATTCATTATTATTTTTTTCAAATTATAATCCAGCCCTCCAACAGTTTGAGGGGCTATGACCTGGCCCTCTGTTTAAAAAGTTTGTGGACCCCTGTTTTAACCAATAGAATTGTAGAATCTTATAGCTTAAAGTGTGTGCAAGGACCACCCAGCTAAATAATTCTTACAACAAAAGAAATGTTTGTCAAAAGTTTACAAGGAATCTCTTTTATTGCAATCTGAATGCATTGGTTTATGGTCTTTGGAGCAGCAGAAACAAATTTGTCTCATCTTATAAATCATTGCCACTTAAACTGTGAGTCCTCACCCCAAATGGGGTTCCCTTAGTGTAGCAGTTCCCAACTTGTGGGCTAAGGCTCACTGGTGGGCCACGAGACCTAAAATAAAATCTGCGGCTCTGGATTATTAAATATGGTTTTCTGTGGGTGAGCAGATGGTGACTACTGGATATGTTCTGTATCCGAAACTGGAGCTGATGTGTTCTATCCGGTGCCATTTTCTGAATCAGCACCCCAAATAACCAAACCAAATCTAAAGTTGACCAAAAACTGATTTGTAACCCTTTTGCTACTAATGTTGGAGAGTGGTCCCTGGTCAAAGTTGTCCCTTGCCAAGTGGTCCCTGGTCAGAGTGATTCCTGGTTAAAAACAAGGTTCGGAACCACTGCCTTAGGGCAATTTGGAATCACGAAATATTTGGCAACAGTAAAAGGTTTCTGAACACCACCCATTTACACAAATCTTTAAAGAGCATCATGCAGTGTTTTCAGTGGACTCTGCAGAAACTGCTTCAGTTGTACTCCACAAAAAAAGAAAAGCAGCCTGTTTAACAAGTCCTGCAAATGCCGGTTTATTGCAAATATTCTATTTTATATCTATTTTATATCCCTACATACCTGGGGTCATATAAACATTTTGCAGGCAGAAAGGGGTCATGAGGGGGAAACTCAGAGGACTATCACATCACCTCTCAGTCTTCTCCAAGCTAAACATTAAATGCAATGTTTAGAACAGAAAAGATGGGCGACTAAGTTTAATCATGGGACAATTGGTTATTTGATTAATTACTAATTAATAACATGTAGCCACACACTACGATTCACTGACTTCCTTTTCTTTCATTTGGCCACAGTTCTCTCACAATCTCTCAACTTTTCTTTGTTCTCCTAATTTTTGTGGTTCTCAGAAAAAAATCTCATCTGCTATTTGCTGGTAATTTGGTGTAATATTCCATTGTGCCAATGTAAGACATTTTTGCAGTAGTGTGCAATGATAAGAAGGCCACAAAAGAGCATTTCCATTGCCAGAAATAACCCCTTTTCTGGCTCTACAACCAGGAAGTCAGCTTTCGCTTTTTACATAAGAAGCCTACTCATGCCTTTTCAGGTCATCACAGCATTCACAGCCATTTCGCTCCTGCTGCTCCATCTGCACTGCCACTTCCACCTATACTACCAACTACAATATAGGTGTCTGATATGGTTTGGGGCCGATTTTATGTTTACCTAATTTGGTTAAGACAAAAAATAATCTATAAAAATTTTGCAGCTTAAAAATGCTGAAATACTTGCCCTAAATACTAGCTGTTTGGCCCAAGTGCAATTTGCAATAGGATACGAGCCCTGGCTTCTGGGAAGGAGAACAATAACTGTCATTCTTCCAGTAATATGCCAGTATTGACAAGAAATGTTAGGATTTATAGCCTAAACTTTAGGTCCTTTGGTGCTGTTTTTAGATATTATACAGAATAAAAAGGATCATAAGTGGACATTGGAGATGCTAAAGGTGGGCATGAGGACCGGATGGCCTTTCTGATATCGAATGTCTGCCTTTTATAAAGAAAATAAATACCTCACTGGGATTCAGCTTGGGAATGTATAGTCTCAGTTGACCTGAAATCAGACCCTTTTAGACACCCACATCCATCAATTATATAGCCTTCCATCACGGTGTTCCTATTCTTAGCCATTTTTCCTGGAGTATTATGATAAGTCTAGCACCATTTCCGAGGCACCAGGCTGAAGGGACAGCAAATTCTATAACCTCTAAAGAATGCCATAATCCTCCCGGAAATGTAACGTCTATTATACCTTATTGCCATAATGAAATAATTATACAAAAATGAAGAAAATGAGTCCTACTTATGGATTTACTCAGAGGGATTACCGACAGAGATACGGCAAAGCTGACAGTCTACCATGAAGTTCCATTTGTGTCCATAACTCTCAAGTCATAATTAAAATGGTGCCATTTATGTCACAGCTGGCCTACTGTGGAGAATTAATCCCCATAGCATTAGATAACTGAAATATTTCATCCTCAGAACCAGCTATTTGAGCAGAGACAGACATTTTTATGTTGCACTTTTTCATCAGGCCTACTTGGCAACTGTCTCTGGTTTCAACATTGCACTTTATAATCAAGCAAAATAAAATTCACTGCTACACTGTCTCAAAAGCCAGAAGCTACAGCACTGAACGATTCTACATTTTATGCCTATCCAGGCAGCAATATTTTAAAAGATAATCTTACAATCAGCAAATTGCACTTTTGAGCATCCTACATTTGCCATTTCATCAGTTCTCTTATTACTACATGGCTTAATTACACGAAAATTGCTAAACTATACAACTGTCACTTATTTTATTTATGACAAATTTACCAGAAATAAGACTGAATTAACATGATATTAAAAGAGTTGCTTATTTTATTGCCATTTCTTCAATATGGCTCGATTTTTTAAATGATTTTAAATATTAAACATATTCATTTTCAAGCAATATAAAAACAGTAAAAAGGGAGATTTTTAAAAGATTTGTTTCAATGTAATTCATGGGTCCAGCACCTATGCAAGACAACCTGGAGGGAAATTAATGCATAAAGAAATACTAATTCCGTGCCTGTTGATAGGGTAATGTTCCACTAAAATCTGTGAAGTTAGTATACATATAACAAAGCAACCCTGCCACAAAGATATGATTGGGAATTAGATCAACTGTGGGGTAGGAGTGTGTTTTTTCCTCCTCTCTTCCATCAAATACAGTGGGAAGGAATAACTGGCCTAGGACTGTAGTATTTCAATCGGCATTATGGAAATGAAGGCTTGGGTGACACATAAGCATGCCTGTTCTTGTCACATCCCAACTTCTGCCACTCCACTCATCATGCGGATTTACTCCACATCAGCTCTAGATTATTAAATATGGTTTTCTTTGGGTGAGGAGATGGCGACTACTGGATGGCATATGTTCTGTATGAGAAACTAGAGCTGATGTGTTCTGTCCAATGCAATTGTCTGAATAAGCACACCAAATAACCAAATTGGATTTAAAGTTGACCAAAAACTGATTCATAACCCTTTTGGTACTAATGTTGTAGAATGGTTCCTGGTCAAGTGGCCCCTGGTTAAAGTGGTCCCTGGTCAAGTAGTCCCTGGTCAAAAAAGGTTGGGAACCACTTATTTAGACTAATGACACAGAGGTTGGGTGGGGTGTCTTCTAGTAGTATAGAGGGTGGAAGCAAGAATGTATTAAATAAACGTGAGAGTATAACTGTTCTGATTTTCTGCAACTGTTGGAACATGCCAAAGGTCTTAAAACTGCCTAAGGTTCCATGTACCCTGACCATTTAACGCAGTTTCAAACCAGTATTGAAAAAAGTGGATTCCTGTGTAGATGATTATATGGGAAATCATGTAATCATAGGAACCAGTTTGAGGCCCAGATGATGGTGATACAGACCAAAAAGCACTGATGCGCATTAAGGGCTTTCTTTCATGTACTTTTATGGGAATTTGTTGTTGGGCTGCCATAGTTTGAAGCTAGTGTCAATAAATGGTCAGTGTAGATGAAAACAAAGTAATAACCAAAACCTCTTTTATACACAAGGCTAATTTGTGAGTTAATTTTAATTTAAGGGTTGCTTATTGTCTTATGTAAACACATTATTTCATTTTAAAAAATATATTTCCCCTACTACAAATTGTTCTGAGTGTACATTTTACTGATGTGTTTTTAAAGAGTGATGCTATGATAATACTGGATTGCTAGTGCTTAGCGTTTAGCAAACATTGATGGATAGATACAGTGTCTCAAGAGGGTGATACTCTAACACTGCAAAAATATATCATGAGGGTTTAAGGTTTCACACAAAATGTAAATAAAACAATTCCACAGTTTGGCTTACGGAATACAGTTCTATTAATCTGTAGCACAAAAGGATCTTTCTTCGGGCATATATTGTTTTGGAAATCAATTAAGATACTCATGTTTTCCACAATTTGCATTACTAGCATCACTTCCACAATTACACAGCCCATATTGGTTCTATAAAAACCTGGAAATAAAAAAACAGGATCTAAAACAGTAGGGAAGGTGGTTAATAATAAGCTGCCATGAAAATACTTTAAAAGAAAACAATACAAATCCTTTAAGCTTCTTGCTTGATTGAATACAATGAATAAATTAAGAAACAGCTCGGCAGAAAGAAAAGAAACAGAAATCATTGTTCACTTACATATGATGTAATAATCTTTGTTTCTCTGAAATTCCAGGCCCCAGAGATTTGGGCTGAACTCTTGAAACTTGATGGTAAACTTAACATCTTGATCAGGCTTGGCACAGTTGAGTAGAGGTGTGTTGTCCTTTTTAATAGTGCAGCTATCTGCTTGGTCTTTATCAACCATATAGACCTTATAGTACTCATACTGTCCACCAGTTTTAGAGTCCACTTTTGGGCATATAATATCCAGTTTGTCTCCTATCTTTGGGTACAGTACCAGTCCTTGTCCAGGATGGAATCTGCAAGAATTAGGAGAAAAGACAAAAGTGAGGCATTTGATTTTAAAGAAAAGTCTTCCTTAAAATGGCACATTGAAATGGAGAATGAAGGCAGATTGGGAACTCACACAATCTTCAACAAACCAGCACTACAATCTAGCTACAGTGTTGGGATACAGCACACCAGAGCCACTTTTCAGATGACAAGTACCAGCACTATAAAAGAATGCTGGCCCTCACGATTAAAATACGTAAAGACTGCTCTATCCTACATTTGAAGCGAAACTAATGTGATGACAAGATTAGCTTCACGGATTTCAAGTGTAGCTCTCAGTAGAATTTAGTAAATGTGATGAAGTGGCTAGATTCGGGTGATTATCAAAAAGAGAGATAAGATGGTAGGAGAGAAACCCAGAAAGGGATTCCTAGCTTCCAACAGATCTCACAATCTCTGAAGATGCCTTCCACAGATGCAGGTAAAATGTCAGGAGAGAATGCTTCTAGAACATGGCCATACACAGCCAGAAAAACCTACACCAACCCAGTGATTCTGGCCATGAAAGCCTTCGACAATACCAGAAAGAGAACCTTGGGTACCATCTGCACTGTAGAATTAATGCAATTTGACACAAATCTAACTGTCATGACTCAATCTGGAAGTTGTAGTTTGGTGAGGCAGAAACACTCTTTTTCAGAGGTTAAGAAACTTATAAAACCATTCCACAGCATTGAACCATGGTCATTAAACTGATATCAGATGGCATTAATTCTACAGTGTAGATGCAGCCCTTCTTACGGGGGCCATTCTCCATTTTTTAACAATAGAGACAGGAACATGGAAACATCCTGCATATTAGTATATAAATGATCTCCAAGGAGAACAGCTACAAAGGAGCAAGTAGTGTTGCTTTGAGATTACTTCTGTGTTTGTGATACATAATAGAAAGGTAGTATAATGGAAGCATTTTATTCTCTCCAAAATGAGGTGGCCCACTTGTGGGGTGGGGAATACATCACTTTTGATACTGTCCCAGGCACCATCCAATAAGAGTGACAGCTGTTCAGTTATTTGACACAGAGCAATTCTAACTACAGCACAGGTATTGGTTGATGCCCTCCCTGTCTGTCTGCCATATGGGCAGAGAGGGAACCAACGGCAGCTGCAGTTTTCTAATTTTTTTCTCTCTCCAGGCACCAGATCTGACCTCCTTTTTTCTGTTGGCTGATCCTTTAGCACAGCCTCATCTTCATTTTTCACACACACACAGCACACACAAAAGCTTCACCATTCCTTCAAACCACAGGCAATTCTACATAAACCGTTGTGTCAAGAATAGGATCAAAAAGACACTTTAAATATTTCTAATTACTTCCAACTAGCTGCACAGCTAAGCAACTAGCTTAATTTTAATGAAGCAAAGTAAATATTTCAAAATGAAAATAATTGCTTATAAAATTGATTAAATTGCAAAATGAAAGCACAAGCTTGTAAGAAACAAAGGACACTGTTATCCTTTCCCCCCTACATTATATTTATTTCAATTCATGTTTGGATACTGGTCTTTAGAGCTATGGATATAAGATCCCTCTGATACCTGCAGATGAAAGCCTCTTTCTTTTTCTAATCATTTCTTGTCTGCCATGTTGCTACAGAAAATCTCTCTTAACGGAAAATGTCTCTGTGCGCTGAAACAATGGCTTCCTAATGAAAGTCCCTGCCCAGCAGTTATTATTAATCTCCCTCTTTCATATATACATTGAGGCACATACACATAGTTTAATCAGATTTATCACAATAAAACTTTAAGTGCTTAATTAAAGAAGCTTATTAGACACATAGACTCTATAGATAGGAAAGACCGCAACGGTCCAAGACCTCAGTTTAATTCTAGTTCCCGCCTGGAATAAACACATTGGCTTGATTTACCACCCAGCTACTGATTCAACAGTTTTTCTTTAGTTGGAAGTACCACTAGGATTTAGATCTTACTTGATATATAGCAATAAAGTGACATAGTATCCTAGATTTCCTATTTTTCTCTAGTTGGAAGTATCACTAGGATTTAGATCGTACTTGGTATATAGCAATAAAATGACATAGTATCCTAGATCTCCTATTTTTCAGTTATCTTCATTTCCAAATGTGTCAGACTTATCCAGACAAGACTGATCCTTTTCCTTCCTAAGAACTGTAGGAAAGTAGTGTACAACCTGACAGAAAATAAATATTTCCAAATATGCTGTTTAAAAGTTATTGGTAGAAAAACTGATATAAATCTATGTTGTTTCTCATATTTCCCTGCTCTGTTTTGGAGTTTTTTAACTTATCAAACTACTTTTTAAAACATGTATTCATCCACAAAAGACATTGATAGGGACAAGTTTGGGCTGTGCAGATTTTTAAAGCAAATTTAGAAATAAGAAAGTTGTATATATTCCACATTAAACAGCAAGAAAGTATAAGTATTTTTCATGCTTAGTTTTTTTTTCTTGAACTGTAAAATATGGATTCATCTCAAATCCAAATTCTCTGACTTTATTGCTGCATTGTACTATGGAAGTAGCCTGAAGGTTTAAATTCATGAAAGGGAGTCAGCTAGATGCCTTGACATCATTGGAAAGTGGGGGGTGGATCTTTCAAGACATTTCAAGTATCCATAATCCAGCCATGCTCTCTGGCAATACTTTGAAAGGTGTATGTAAGACGGCAGCCCTTAAGCTAATTAAAAACTTTGATTCAACCAGAAATGTAACTAATACACAGGATCAAAAGTCTTCCAAATCCCAGGGCTGGTGCCAAACCAACGATGCCAAGGCCACGTCTTTTAAAGAGTTCTGCTTGGAGCATCACAGCTAGGGGAGGTTAATTATGTCTGTAGCGGTCGGGTATCTTCGAGAGCAAAGGTATGTTGATGCTAAGCGCCAAATCCAAATGCAAAAACCTGGAACTATAAAAAAGCAGCACTCCAACTGCTTTACTGTTCACAATGACTCATTGCGGATTTTTATTCAAACAAGAAGTCACAGAAATTAAGCAGGGCACAAAACAAGCAAATGCTGCGTTGCTAAACGCAGGAGACAGTCTCAGACAGAGAACATATTACTTTTAGGGCTGGCATACCCGACCAGATGGAGTTGATGAACAAAATTGGTTTTAATCTCCCTTTGTCTGCCTTATTCGCCCTTCTCATGGCTGCCGAGACAGAAAATATGGAGCTGCATATGGTTACTAGGATCCTTTCCAGCAGCCAATAGGCACAGCCTGATGGCACCTTTTGCCTAAGTATAGTAAGCTTTTATGTGAAAATACAAGGGCAAGAGTTGGAACATAGAATACACAAGCTTCTGGAACAGATTTGTCAACATCTTTCTAAGCCTGGAAAAGGCTGCTGTGGCTCTTTTGATTTTTACTCCTGAAGTATGAATGAGCATGATAGAATTCTGAAACTGAAACCAATACAGACAATACATGACTACTTCCATTTTTGAGGTTTTCTTTGTTGTTACTAAGTGATGTCAAGCTGATTTTGACTTATGGTCACCCCATGAATGAATGGGAAATCTTCAAGTCAACAGCTCTGCTCAGTTCTTACAGACTCAGGGCTGTGGCTTCCTTGATTGAATCTATCCATCTCAAATACAATCTTTATCTTTTGATATTTCCTTCTATCTTACCAAACATTATTTTCTTTCATGATATTGCCAAAGTATGACAGTCATAGTTTACTCATCTTGGCTTCTGAGGAGAGCTGACACTTGATTTGCTCTAGGATCCATTAATTTTTTTTCAGCAGTCCATGGTATCCGTAGAAATCTTTTGAAGCACATTTCAAAGGAGCTGATTTTCTTCCTCTCAGCTTTCTTCACTGTCCAACATTCACAACCATACATAGTAACTGGAAATATGATGGAATGGGCAATCCTAACTTTAATATTAAATAATCTATCTTCACACTTCAGGATCTTACCTGGTTCCATCACAGAATTCATCTACACTGGCACCTAAATTGTTGCCCCGGATTCCGTGGAAGTACTTTTTCACCCTTCTGCTCCTGAACCTGTGTGCGCCTTCTGTTTTTCTTCACCCAAAATACAGCATAGTTAAATCCTTCCCTGAATGTCACTCTTACTCCCTTCACCTGCTCTGAATCAGTCCCTGAAAAGATTTGCTTCCTGAATTCTGCCTCTTTTCTCTTCATCCCCTCCTTCACTACAAGTGTTGGGAGTTGATAACTTGAACATAGGATATAGATTTTAACTTCATACTATATATGCTACAATTTTTGTTTTCACATTCAGTACACTGTCTGGACAGGATTGCCACTAAAGGTTGACAAATGCATTGCCATGTTGCCATATGGTTTAGTTTTTTTAAAAAAAAACCCAAGATAAAATAATAGCTTTGGGGTTTTTTAAAAAAACATTTCTTCATGCATATAATGGGAGGTAGAAGTAATCATGCGCATCTGGACATGTGTGTAAAAAAGAGACATCAAAATATTGCTTTTTTGCAATCCTTATAAATACCTGGAGGACGAGGTATGTTTTGTTCTTATTGTTTTAGGGGCAGAGTGAAAAATTTCAATCCAAATTTGTATTTTGTACTGCCTGATTCAACATTGTGGTGGATGAAATAGATTTTTAATCTTGTTACAATGTTCATGGATGTGTTTAAAAACAAGATACAAACCGTGAGATTGAAATAACAACCAAGGATATTCTGGTTACATTTTAAAAGGCTTTTCTACAGAGAAAAATACTATCTCAGAGGTAGTAGACCTTTTCCTGTAAGATTTTTTAGTAGAGTTAGATGGTCACTTCTCAAAGGTGCTTTAGCAACGGATTCCTAAACTGAACATGAGTTGGACTAGATTTGGGGTGAGGCTCACAGGGAGTTAATTGCCCCCAAAATGACCCAAATGCCCTCTAGAGAGCATGGGGTAAATTTTCCATTATTTTGTGGACATTTTAAACCTAGTCGAGAATGTAAACAAAAACAAAGCAGGATCCCACTTCCAGAT